ACACACACACACACACACACACACACACACACACACACACACACACACACACACACACACACACCCTCTCTGCTTGCAGATGTCTTCATTCTTGCTCTCCTACCTCCAAACACCAAGGAAGGAGACCAAAGTGTGATACCATCGCTAGCCCAGTGGAGGAGCCTGTCATTGGCCCCCTAATTGCTCAGATTAATGTGAAATTAAACTACAGACCAATACTACCCACCAGAATTACACTGACAACCATATCGTATTTGCCCCCGTCAGGGAAGGCTTTCCTGCAGAAGTGACTGTTAAGCAGAAATCCCAAGTCTGAGTAAAACTGAAGCAAAGGGAGCAAGCAGGAGGAACAGATTTCAGGTCGTCAGCATTGCTGTCCTAAGAGGGACCACGACCCTTGGAATGAACCTGAGCTCACTGTGGCTCTTGGACAGCAGGTGTGAGGAGGAGACAGGAAAGCTGTAGGTGCACGGTCATGTCAGGCGTGGTCTGTGTTCCTGGCCACGGATTCTTACTCAACATGTAGGAAGCCATGGGAGAGTCTCCATAGCAGAGGGGAGGGGAGGAAGAGGGTTCCTTTTGCATTTTTAAGCTTATCCTGATCACCGTGTAGAGAAGGGCGAGAGACTACAAAAGGAGAGGACAGTATACCAGATTTCATCAACTGAGAAAAAATAGAGCAGGCATGAGCTGAACCAAATGAGCATGGTGTCATGAAGACAAGGAAAGATAAAATGGCAAAATGATGGTCACCTTTGATGGATGCTGTTGAGATGTTTTGGGGTGGTTTTTTGTTGTTGTTGTTTTTTTTTCTCAGTACCAGGGATCGAACTCAGGAGCTTACACTTGCGAGGCAGGCGCTGTGCCACTGAGCTAAATCTTTGCCCCTGTTGAGACGTCTTGTAAGACAGGATTGAAATAAAATAGGTGTAGGTATCTTTAATGATCTCAGCAACTGCCAAAACTTCTGGTGTGGATTTAGCACTGGCTTTTTCTGTAACGTAGAAAAGGTCAGTTAACTCCTTGATGTCAGTTTCTTCATCCTCAAAATAAGGGGAATGGGGCCAAAGTAGTGGTTTTCAAATGTCTTTAGCCAAGCAACTGGAACACACTGAATAATCCAGTTAGCCAGCCAGTTAGCTACTTAGTCAACTTGTTTTTGCAGTGCTGGGAGTGGGACTCAGGCTCTCTGTATGGTAGGTAAACATCTACCACTGAGCTGCACTCTCAGTCTAGTTGCTTAGCATTTAGATTATGGTGTCAAACTGCCTGGGTTTGGATTCCTGCTCTGCTCCTGAGTGGCGGGGTACCCTGGGCAAGTCACTTAGCCCCTCTGCCTGATCCTAACAGTGTTTCCTGCATAGGTTCTTGGATGTATTAGAAGGTAGTGACCAGTAATGTCCTGGACACCATTAGTAATATATTTCTTGAATCAAATGACTTAAGGTGATGCCTGTAAAGAAGAGACAGTATGATTTTGAGTCTAGGTGTCCCATCCCTGCTGCAACCAAACATTTCTATTTTGATGGTTTTTAATGTGTGATTGTGATTTTGGGTGTGAAATCAGTTTCACTGTCAACCAAAATATGTGACCCATTTCTTCCTATGTGACTTCCTCTAAAAGTCACACCGTCTTGAGCCCAGTGCTACATATTACAGACCAGTGTTTTTCACACTGTAATGTGTGCGCAAGTCATATAGGCTCTGATTCGTAGGCCCAAATGGATCCTAAGAGTCTACATTTCTAACCAGCTCCCAGGGAGGCTGAGGCTGGTCTTCCAGTTCCACACTCTAGCCAAGGGCCTAGAAAACTCCATGGAAGTCGGTGACAATTTTCTTGTCCTTGAGCATTGCCTGGCCAGCTGACAGGCCAATGCGAGGTCAGGTCACGTTCTGGTTTCTGAAATATTTCCCAAGTCAAGGACACAGTGAAGGGTTTTTCTGAAAGGTAGCCTACCTAGTTCCTGAGACCATGCATGATACCTTCAAGAAAGGGTGTGTGGTCCCCAGCTGCTCAGTACCCACTGTCCTCTATGTCCCCTTCTATCAGGTGCCTACAGAACTACATTCCTGCCCACAGCCTGACCCTGTCCTGCCCAGTGTGCCGCCAGACCTCCATCCTGCCTGAGAAAGGGGTGGCTGCACTGCAGAACAACTTCTTCATCACGAACCTCATGGACGTGCTGCAGCGGACGCCGGGCAGCAACGTGGAGGAGTCTTCCATCCTGGAGACGGTGACCGCTGTGGCTGCGGGAAAGCCCCTCTCCTGCCCGAACCACGATGGGAGTGTAAGTGACACGCGCTGCTGGTATAGCCTTGGGCATGCTTTGGGCCTGTCGGTCAGCGCTGTCCATTAAAACACAGCTCCACCTGAAAATTGAGTCACTGCCAAAGATTTTGATTTTTGACCGACCCTCAGACTGTCTGGCTTGCTTACTTCTATGATCAGAATCATTTAAATAGTGAAATCCACTTCATTGTGTTTGCCTAGCATAAATTGTCGGTACTCTCAGGAGAGTAAGTTAGCAGCTCTTTGCAAGCTGCATGTTCTTTGACCCACATAAACATCTTCATCATAAATTCTGGATAAAAATGTATTAATGCATAAATTCTGCAAATCAAGAGCCTTAAAGTGTTAATTCACAAGTTGTTTTATATTTCCTGTGGGGGAAATTCTTTTCATTTTCTTCCTTGGACCTTATTCCTTAATAACGAGTAGAATTGGAAGCATTGAGGATCTCTGGTAATAGATTATTGATTGCGAACATGTTTCCTGCTATTAGAAAGTACAAAGCTGTTACCGACTCGGACCTGTGGACCATCCAAGAGCTGATTCTTTGGAATTCTGTAACCAGGGAGGCAGGATCACACTATGATGAGAGCTCCGCCTTTGACGCCAGACGGCCTGACTCAAGTCTTGCTCCTGAATTTGTTCCCTCAGTTTATAAAACTCTGTGTCTCATTTTCTCTTTGGTAAAAAGAAGTAGTAATAGCATTTACCTTATAGATTATTGGTAAAAAGAAATATTGAAATCATATCAAGTACATAGTAATATGATAAAGTTAGCTATTGAGATTATTTCTCAGGGCTGTGGTATAGCTCGTGGTAGAGAACTTGTCTAGCATATACAAGGCTCTAGGCTCAATCCCTATCACTGCAAAAAAATGTATATCATAAAATTACTTATAATATGCATATAAATTGTAGTAGTAATTGTTTTTTCTTGATGGGGCTGGAACTGAAGGCCTTGCACATGCTCTGCTGCCGAGTTACACCCCTAGCCCTTGTATTATTTCTAATTAATGACTTTCCTTGCTTTTTTCCTTATATATAACTCACTTTAAAAGTATTTGAGCCAGGCATGGTGGCACATGCGTGTATTCCCAGCACTCAGGAAGCTGAGGCAGGAGGATTGCCATGAATTCCAGGCCAGCCAGGGCTACATAGCGAGACCCTGTCTCAAAAAGAAAAGTATTTGAAACCGCTTAAATAAAATTCCTATGTACAGTAAAACCACGAAAGTAAGCGACCCTTAGAGCCTAGCTAGCTATTAGCTGTGCTACTCTTTGCCGACCTCAGCTCTGCCCACTTGCACGACAGCCTCCTGGTCAGAGTGTTTTCCACTTTCTGGTGTCTGTCCTTCCTGCCTGGGACAGGCTTTGTGCCTTCTCTGTGTGGCTCATTCTCATCTTTGAACTCTCAGTGCAGCTTTCTCCTCCACAGAGCAGCCCTCTCTGGCAGTACCCGTGAGCCATGTGACACTGGCCTTCTGTCACATCCCCTCCTTTCCTGCCGCCATGGTGCCCACCATCATCTGTGGACTGGTTACCTGTGGGTCTGCTGCTTTCCTTTAGAGGGTGAGCCCCAGAAGAGCGGGGACTTTGGTCATTGTGCCCTTCACACAGGGAAGCCAGTCAGTGTGGATCTGCTGAACAGATCTGCCAGCCAGATTTGGCTCCTCAAAGCTGCCCAGTAAAGGGCCGGGGATTTAGCTCAGTGGTGCTGCGCCTGCCTCACAAGCGCAAGGTCCTGAGTTCGATCCCCAGTACTGGAAAAAAGAAAGCTACCCAGTAAAGTAGGAGTTAATTACTTTCATTCCAGAGATAAGACACACTCAGGCTTGAATGGTTTAAGTCACAAAGCTAGTTAATGCATCATGAATGCTGGACCTGGAATAAAAATTATCGTGAGCTTTTTGGTAGCTCACACGAGAGACACTGGGGGTTACATATCTATAATGCCATGATTTACATATCTGCAGCTATTTAACGGAAACAGACTGAGCTATTAATGACTATCAGGTTTTCTTTGCACTGTACTACAAGGGAGAGTTACCATATAAAGTTTGTTAAAAAGAACCTTGAAGGGTGCGTTCAGCAGCAGTTTGAACATTCTTCTCGGTGCCTTTTCCCACAGTGAATGCTGCGGCTGTCTCTGCCTTCTAAATACTGGCTTGGGGAGTATATTTCCGCCAGGTACATGCGTCCTCTTCAAGAGTAGTGCAGGCTGGGGGGTCTCTGCAGGCCCCAACGTTTTAGAAACACAAGGAGACCTGTGGAAACGCTGGTCTACGTTTGGGAGGCACAGGGGCAGTAGTGTAGAGTGGGAGATGATGACAACAGGGAAGGCGGCGTCAGCAGGCAGAGCAAGGATGTGGCAGACTTGGGGTGGCGGGGCGGAGAGGGTGAGAGGGGAACTGCAGGGACGAGCCCAGGAAGTGGAGGCGAGAGATTGGGATGCGCTATGAGCATCGCCAAGAGAATGCTTGGCCTGAATTCCACAGGCAGGGTGAGAGCATTAAAGCTCTTTAAATAAGGGGTGACATCTTAGTGGCCATGTAGAGGACGGGGCGGCAGAGACCTAAGTCTGAATTTGTCGAGTTCTTCAAATGCGAGCTAAGAGGTAGAACTAGAATCGCGTCAATCGGTCTGGAGAGGAGAAGATGGATTTTAGAGGAGAGCACTTTTCACTTGATAGTCTGCTTCCTGCAAATAAAAAGTCCCGTGTTAAGCTAAGCTATCAAGATGGTGAGAACTTGAACAAATAAAATTGATTGCATACTAACTATGTCATCCAGAAAACATCGCTGTAGTTTCCTATTCTGTAAACCAAGCTCCTGTGCAGTGTACTAAAATCATGTCAGTAACGTGTGCTTATGGGAAAAAGCTGTGTGTGTGTGTGTGTTGCTGAGGATCCAACCCAGGGCCTGTGTGTGCCAAGGCAAGGGCTCTTCCACTGAGCTCCATCCTCCACCCCCAAAATGTTTTTTTAAAGCTCATAATTATTCAATCAAAGAAAAGAAATGGTGCAATGAAACTATTTACAAAATACAGAAGTGGAAACTGTCTATCAAGTGTATCAAGGGATAAAATTAAATCTCTACCCAGGAAATTTTTAAAGTTTTTTTCTTTTATTTGAAAATAATTCTGAATAAGTTAGGAAAAAAACAACAAAATGAAGATATGCAGTATAAAAGAAAGGAAAAAGCAGATGTGATTCATAGGATGTAAATTTCTGGGTGATAAGAAAAAATAGAAAGCTATTCAGTTGATAAACCCTGATACCAAAGACTAACAAGACTTTCCTCCTAAAATTAATAATTCAACTTGTGATAGTTAAATATAAAATTCTTCATTAAACTATACCCTCAGGTTCTTAATATGTAAGAGCACTTTCAGTTTTTAAAAAAGTTGATCATCACAAAAGAAAATGAGCAAGGAGCTCAGAAAATCCATAGCGGAGGTATAAATGGCTAATGATTGTGTGGAAGAAAAGGGTTAACCTTTACAGATAATCAGCTCTTCTCAAATTAGCTGCAGTTGTTACGAGAGCTGATAACCAGTGTTGGTGAGGATATGTGTGTGGGGACATTTGTGGCAGGTGAGAATTCTACCACTGAACCACCCACATGTGGGGACATTGGTGTATGCAGTGGTGGAAGGGAAACTTGCTCTTCAGAAAGCTGATGTCAGCCTAGCAAAGTATCATGAGTATTTTACACGATCTTTTTTTTTTTTTTTT